ACCTGAAGAAGGACTTTTTGTTGTCCTTAATTTTTGTCACCAGGCTAAGTTCTAATCCTGCTTGGCCTTTCTAACTGATTCCCTGCAAGTGCAAGCCAGGGAGGAATACTCCTCTTTGCTAGCTACCCCCTGTTTCCACAGCGTGTATCCCTCTTTCTTCCCTGTCCAGCCAAGAGGGCTTCTTGGCCCCTTTACCCCCTTTTATGCACAATGGGATTGTCAACTTCTGTACCCGTAGGATCACTCCCTTGAGGAACGGCCATCCTTCCTGGACCCCCCATTTCGCCAATGCTCTTGAGCTCTAATGCTTCACTAACTAATCTCCTAAGTACACTGAAATCAGCTTTTCTAAAGTCTAGCACTTCAGCCCTGCTAGTTAGGTTTACCCACCCTTCGCCGGACAGTGAATTCATCAATCAGTAGTCAGTATCCCCTAGGTCAGTGGTCTCCAAACTTTTTTGGTCTCACACCCCTATCAGTAAAAAATTTTTGAGCACACACCTCCAGTATATGTGTATTTATTTATTTATAAATTATATACTTGTACTACTGTACAAATATATTATGTACAATATATATAGATAAAAAATATAAACAAAAATTCTAATATTTTCTTCCCGCACCCCAATGGATCATCTTGCGCTCCCCACTTTGGAGACCACTGCCCTAGGTTACCACGTACCTGCAGATTCCCCACCAGGGCATCCCCTGTAGCTAACATCAAGTCCAGCAAGGCATTTCCCCTAGTGGGTTCGTATAGCTCCTGCATTAGGTGGAGGTCCTGTATGCAGGTTAAGAACCTACGTGCAGGTTAGATTTGGCTGACTACTCCTCCCAACACGTCAGGGTAGTTTAGGGGTTATGACAACCATATCTCTTGACCATATGGCCTCTGAGAGCTGTCTGGAGAATTCCATGTTTAGCTCATCCTCCTGGTGTGGTGATCTATAGTAGACTCCCCTCTACCAAGTCACTTCCCTGCCCCCCCCCGACCCCCTGGTATCCTGATCCACAGTACCTCAGTTTGGTCCTCCTCTGATCCCATCTTGATTACAGAAGACGTACATTGTTCCTTAACATAGAGAGCAACACCCCCCCACACACACTTTATTTCCCCACTCTATCCCATCTGTACAACCTGTAACCCTCAATGCCTACTGCCCAATCATGAGTAGGGTCCCACCAAGTTTCAGTTAGTCCAACCAGGTCAAAGCTGTTGCTTGCAAGCAAGAGTGCAAGTTCCTCCTGCTTGTTCTCCATGCTCCTAGTATTAGTGATCTTTAAATTGCATTCTGTTATCCCTCAATGGTACTCAATAACTTATGCTTAGTTTATTTATGTCTTCAAGAAGGACCTCCATTCTACATTTAGAAAGATACTGTACATCTCTTTTCTTGGCAGTTTGCTCAAATGGTTAATCCAGTGATTCTCACCCAGGGCACCATGGGATCCTTTTAAGGGTGCTGTGTGGTGCCATGGAAAGTTAGCACCGTGAGACATGCAAACACCCTACAGATTATTCACAGCATAAACCCAGGGATTTCAAATAGAAATCCATAAGTGTCAAAAACCTTCTGACCTGTTGTGGTTTGAGGTCTTTGCAACAGAAGGATTCCACTATTATTCTTCCTTAGACAAAAATGAGTGAAAGCTAAGAGCTGGAATTTTCTGACGGGTGCCTTGAATCTAAAAAATGTTGGACCAGTGAGTTAATCACTCAATGTAAAAAAAAAGTTTGGTTTATTTCCAATTGCATTCTAACAGGCTTCAGATTTCAAGAATCAATATCCATCTTTTCCCCCCTGTAAAAAAATTTGCCCAATGCAACACAGTCATTCTCTCAATCTTCTTTTTGATAAACTAAAACGATTAAATATTGTAGTTAGTATATATTTTGTATATCAGATAGTTTAATGCTGTGGTGCTCAACCTTTTGGACTTGTGGGCCAGATGAGTGGCACAGGCCCACATTCACAGGGTTGGTGCCCAGATCCCAACTTGCACTGCCTAAATCAGGCCCCGCCCAGAGCCTGCTTCACACCATGCAGATCAGCCCTGCACCATGCTGGGCATCTTTATCCAGCTCACAGGGCTCCCCATGGGTCCAGAAAATTGACAGCTGGGGAGTAGCAATTAAAACTACCACCACGCTCCCCACCAAATTTTCAGAGCTATGGGGAGCCGTGTGAGCCAAATGACATGGTTCCACAGGCCAGGCTAGGGGCTGAACATCCCTGTTTTAATATAAGAGGTTAAATGATTCACCTGTAAAATTCTTTATAGGTTCCACACTGTAAATTGATATTGTTCTGCTCAATTTAAGAGACCAAAGACAAGAATTTTATAGTAACCACCTTAAGCAGATCTTTATGTACATTTCTCAACACACCATACTTAGCAAGTAGCATCTCTCCCTAACATTACTTAACAAAAATCAAACTTTGGCAAAACAGGGAAAAACAAGCATCTAAAATGAGATAACACTCGAGTAGAATAGCAAATTTAATAGCCTCGTACACCCAAGTGGGTCTTCTTCAATAATCCTACAGACTGTACCAGCAACAAAAACTTAATTAAAACATCAACTATCTTGCTAACATTGTAACAAAATGTCACAATGCAAATGTTATGCAGCTAGGGAACCTGAAATAAGACAGCAATTTCTGCATGCTGGTATACTGCTCTACCTAGACAGCTGACATTTTAGTACTGATCAATTTTCTTTTGAAAAAGTCCAATTTTAACCTTTTGCAACATGTTGTAAATCCCAAGCTCTATATAAAATTAACATGTAATCTTTACAAAGATTCTTTCAGCTATAAGAATTTATTTGAGCATTATTAATACTAAAATGTATTTGATAAAAATCAAAATCGGACTATTAACATAATATTTATTCCACATGAAGCACTACATCCAATAGGAAAGGACCCAGCATTTTTTTAACATGGACAGACCTATTGTTTCATAATGTAACTGAGCATCCTACATAGCTATTGCAATGTAGCAACCAAATTTAACACACAAGACATTTTGACTATTCCTATATTGCAAGATTTCAGAAATTGTATGAATAAACAGAAAAAAAGAATGCAGATTGGTTACTGGGAGCTAAGTATAGCTGTAGCAGTTCAATGACATTTTCAAAGCCAGAAGATAAATTCTCACAGAACTGCAGTTCACTCAAGTGGTTGAAAGTGGTATTTGTAGAAAGCTTATTATAGCTATTTTTGTCTCAGCCACTTAAATCCCTAAAACCAAAAGATTCATTTCCTGGAAAAAAATACATAAATGTTACTGAAAGAAAATTACAGAGAATGTTACATGGGAATATTTAATTTCGTTTTACAGTTAATATAGAGTTTTGACATAATCCAGAAAACAAAGGAAGTGCATCAGCTACTGTATCATTTATCAACAATATTTAAATAAGGGATTTAAATAAGAACACCTCCCTGAAGTGGCATGTTTTTTAATCCAAATCTTCCAGACACCTTTTGAAGACAAAACCTAGGCAGAGCCATCTCTATCAGTCCTGAACCACTCTTTATATAGCCTCTCCATTATTTTTCTGTCTCTAAATATTGGCCAAGAGAAGGATTCCTTCAGTCAGACCCTTTCAGCTGCCTAACAGCACGCTTGCCATGACAAATATTTTGGCCCTATTCTTACATCTGGTCCCTGATGTTTCCACAATCTTTTCTAATCTAGGGCTCTGAAGACATGGGGTTGAATGCTGATGAACGTCAGCATTTTTTTAAAAAACTGAATTAATTTCTAACAAAAGAGTCACAATATGTTTGGTTATCTCTTTTATTGGATTAGCTGTATAGTTGGAAGAGATGCCAATCAAGCTTTCCATGTTTCCCTCAGTTCTTGGAAATAAGGAGATACAGCCAAACTTAATCCCAGTTAAAAGAAGTACTTTACTTTGACTCCATTATGTAAATCAAAGTGATCATCTGAGAAGCAGAGAAGTTATCAGAAGTTGTTACAGATCAAGTAAAGATCATCTGAAATGGGCAAACCTAGTTATATTATATAATTATATATAACCTGTGTGTGTGACCATTCAAAATGGAAAGAAGAGTATTATCATCTGTATAACACAGAGAGATTATCAGAGCTTTTAGTGAGCCATAAAATTATTGTCTGAGTCAGTCTACGTGTTTTGGTATACAATAAAGTCACGATTTTTTGTGCCT